TTTTGTCGCTGTGCTATTAATGTCCTTTCCAATCGCCCCAGCCATCCTAGCAAACTCGCTTTTGTTCAGTCCGCCGGAACCATGAACACTTTTACCACCGTTACCACCATTACCCAACAAAGGTCGACGATGCTCTAAGTTATTTCTCGCCTGAAAGCCACCTTGGACAAATGAAGACCTTGAACGGATCGACTCCACGGCAGCGTGGAATTCAGATGTTCTATCTTTCACGGACATGGTTCTTAGATTCTTAACAAGATTGTAAAACTTGATGTAGGTTCGATCCACCCACCGATGCGATAGAAATGAGAAAATAAGGAAGGCGTAATTTTTGGTTTGGAAAGAATATAGAAGTTACAGGAACGAGGGTTAATTATATATAATTCTATGGTGTGCCACTCCACTGCAAAATTGGTTCGGGGATAATTTATCTGAAATTTTGATTTTTTTGACCGGCAAGTCACTGGATTAAGTGTGTGATCAAAATATGCACGTTACTTGTGCGTTTGAGTAAATAAATGAATGCAAATTGCTTTTGCGTCTACGATACAGACAGCAAAAACAATGGGCAAACGTAAAACCAAAAGAAAACCAATGCAAAAAAAGAAACTTGTCCTTGATACACAGTTCGACTGCATTTTTTGTAACCACGAAAAAAGCGTTGACGTTAAAATGTACGGATCCCAAGTTTAATCTATCTTTTTCCTGAAAATGTCGGTTGCTTAGTTAATGTCCTTTTATCCTTTGTAAAAATAAATAAAAATAAATGAATAAAATAAACTACTCGTTATTTACTTACGAATGACATCATAACTACGATGACATTGTAATAGGAATAGGGAAGATAAAGTTGGTAATCTGGCCTGTAGAGCGTGCGGCGCAAAATTTCAGTCAATAATCAATCGTAATGTGCTTGATTTTTCATTTTCTCTTTGATATGATTTTCTCGTGAACCTTAACATGACCTCGAATTTTCACTCTAGAGTTGAGCGATCCCGTGGATGTGTATTCTGACTGGGTCGACGCTGCCGAAATGGTGAAACCCGAAGGAGACGGACACGACGATTCGGAGGATGATCAGCTTGATGAAGAGGGACTATTTCGTTCTCGGGTCGCGACTGGTGGAAGATCGCCTGACTACGAGGAGGATGATGATGATCTCGAATAATTAAAAACGAGAATTAAGCCAACTTGGAGCATCGGATTCGATTCCGTGCAATAATAAATTTGTAAAACAAAATTTTATTTCATTTCAGTTTATCATCTGTGTGTGAACATCATTGTAATGTACAATAGCGCCAACTCAGGCGTAGGAAATCAAATAAAAAAAAAAGTCTAAATAAATACGCATGTACAAAATTTAACCTCTAATTAAACCCGATTGTATAGTTAAACTTTATATTAGGCTGGTCTTCCAAATAAATATAGACTCAACGTAACTCCGTGGTTGGAGCCCGGATGGTTCTTAAACACGGAAGACGAAACTTTCGGAGATGGTGAAAAATCTAACCCATCGTTGAGGAAGCAAAGCGCTGCTCATCTCGTATACTTTCAGTCGACGAATTTGTATGTTGGAGCAAGTATAATTTTGTATGTCAAATTCGAGGCTTCAAATATCATACACCGAAAGTTAAGTTAGTCTCACAAACGTAACTTGGACTGCGCTGCTGGAAGAACAGATCTCAGAAAGGAGATCGTACCTGATTGGTCCCACTTCCAATTGCGCTACGGATGAAAAGGACGTTGCACCGGTGACCTTACGTAATATTAAGGACATTGCACGCGTCCATGATAAGGCGAATAACGAATGATAAGCAAAATTAGAATCGTTCAAAGTGTGAATATGACTATACCTTTATTTTTATCGATTTTTCGGTGCCTCCTTTCATCTTATTGATCGTCCAAGTGAATTTTCTGAGTCGATTATCATATTGCACCGATTGATCAGTGGAACCGTCGTGGTGTTCATTTGAAACACTAACAAAAATAAAGTATATGCACGGACGAATTCGTTGAGCCACAAATCTTTCAGTGCGGGCAACCTTAAAAGACTTCAGTAAGCACGCCGACATTCTACGCCTACCTTTGGGTGACGCGAGGTAAGGGTACGATCAATGTACACTTGGTCGCGACCTTATCTTCTGGAAAGTCAGCTCGAACGCGTACGGTGATGTCCATTCGGTTCGGGTGCCCGGGAACGTGCAGCACCAACGGGAACACCCGAAATGGCAAGCTTATGTCACCAGATATACGATATCTTTTTGTTGTTTCAAGAAAGAGAAATTAGAAGACGTCCAATAAGTTACACAAAACTTATCCAAAGAACCATACATCATTGCCGTAATTTCACCTTCTGGTGGAAATATTACCATCCGCCTATGTTCCTCAAAATCTAAAAAAATCGAATATATTAACATATCTAATCAAGAGACTTGTGTAAATGAGGTGTCTAAAATGCGAACCTGATGAGTCCACTAGATCATGAAATTTGTAATCATCGAATATAATTCCATATCGATCTTCTATGCTTTCATAAAAATAAGGTGCAAGGGTTATAAAAAGATCTTGGATGTAATCAAAGCTTTTTAACGATCATAGGTGATTACCCGTAATCTCGGAATCTCGACCGAGCACAATGTTGGAGTTGAGACCCAAGGAGATTTCCGGATTGCCTTGCAGATAACTCTTCACCTGTATTGCGCCGTTAATTTCGGCCTGCACTGTCATTCCCTAAAGTTCGAGATAATACATATACGTGCAGTATTACGTTATTGCTCTTGTCTCTCGGGCGTCGAAGCCGTCTTTACTCACGTTTGAGGCGAAAGAAGCCACGACCCGTTCAACCACATCAATAAAGACTTCGCTATTTTTTTCGTCACGCAAGGTTATCGGCCTATTACTCGAACTTCCCGTGCTGATAGCAGAAGGTTTTAACTGGTGAACATATAGAATTTAGACATTTGTTAATCATCTTGATAACATGATTGACATGAATTACCAACCTTCGCTAAGGAATTCATAATAATATTATCCCGTTTCACGGGAATGGGTTCCTCATATGCGCTCAACTTTAATTTAACTGTTGAGGTTGTCTGCGGATAACCGTAGTCCTGTTAGGCGTTTTAAAAAGCACGTCACTTCATCGCAGAACTTGAATTTATTCGGATCGATCGTTATAAACTGATAATTCCTTACAATGACCTCATCCAGTATTTCATAAACCAGACCCGAATTTAATCTTAAAATTTCTTCGTTCAAGCTTCCGCAGAAATCCTTAATCAGCGTTGCTATGCGGCCAAGTAATTCGAAAATCGTAAAGGGCGAAACATTGAATTTTGTGGTGCATACAAAGTACAAGTCCTGTGCATTGATGAACAGAAACTGTACGTCATCGATGTTAAGAACCGGCGGTGGATCCCGCTCCGAACCATTTTCCCTGTGCCAGGTCACTAGCTTGTCGAGGAGGAGATCGGGTGTGTCGCGAGGTGTATCGCGACGATCTGAGAAGCATTGCGACGAGGTCAAGTAAGTACACACACATCGATTTACTTATCATCATAATATTCTAACAGTAATTCCTACAATCGCGGAAGATAAGAGTGTCGCCTCGTTGTGGTGACAAAATAAAAAACTGAGAGATCATCTGAACCAGTCGTCTGTGCACGCACGTTTAACTCATTTCATCTAATTATATTTACTCGTGATCTAGTATATACTGCGTAGAATAAATAAACTGTACTTCTTTATAATTATAGATTTAATTTACATAATAATTTTTTTTTTTTTTAATTAATAAAATCTTGATTTGATATTCCACCATCTAAATATAATAAACAAAAACCATTAGCCGTTGCAATGAACGTGTCAAAGAGAGCTTTTAACATTAACATTTTTCATTTTCACGCGTTTTTAAATAATTACAGTACCAAAACCAAGCGTACCCTTTCAAAGTCACGACTCGACAAAAATTTAAATCATAAAATCAGAAATCAAGGCAAAATTCAAATACCACGCACTTTGACTCCAAAACTTGTACCTCTCCCGATGCCAACTGGTCAGGTTGTCCGTCGTGAAAATAATAATGCCAAACTATCAATGCGTCAACTTTTTAAGCAGATCGAACCACCTCACGAAGTTCTCAAAGAAATATCGGCGCTTAATCTAGCCAAACCCAGGAGGCATAAAATTGGACGATACGACACCAAAGTGGCGGTTATTGGAAAGAGAAAGTTAAAACGACAACTTGGGAAAGTTGAATTCGAAAAAGATGAGCATTTGGAGGTAACTAGATGCTTCGTACGGTAACCGAAAAATAACAATTCTTGGCCTAACGTTCATATCTCTGCAAAAATGTTTGGTAAAAGTAAAGTTACCCCACCTAAGCTTTTTTGCTGGCGCCAAAGTGGCAACTTCGTTTCCACCCGAGAGAGTGCCAGAAATAGCGTTTGTTGGTGGGCAATATTACTGAGAGTCATCACAAGGAGTTTAATTCTCTTTTTTTAAGATAACCATTTGTTTTCAAGGGAGATCAAATGTGGGCAAATCATCTTTGATCAACGCATTGGCAGATACCACAGTGGTGAGAATTTCGGACAAGCCGGGATTAACGCAACAGATCAACTTTTTTGCCGCCGGCAACATATTCAATCTGGTCGACATGCCGGGTTACGGATTCGCCTACGCGAAAGAAGAAGAGAGATTGCAATGGAAGGAATTGGTTGGTCTTTAATCCGACTACCGTTGTGTCGGTTTATAAATGTATATATATAATTTTGAGCGTTTCTTCCAATTCGCGAAATAGATAGAAACTTATATCTCAACAAGGGAGTCGTTGAAGAGGATGTTTGTGATAATTGACGCGAGACACGGTTTGTCTGCATATCTTTATCGTAAACTTACCATAAATTATTAACCCATGAATTCACAGGGATAAAATTCGAGGACAAAAAATTCCTCTCGATGCTAGACCAGTAGGCAACTTCCTTTTCTTGACAACAAGCTAGATATTGAAACTTATATCCTTTCTTTACCATGTCGCACATAGAAAAGAAGTGGAGTTCCAAGTCGTCCTAACCAAATGCGATATGGTAGTTTTACCAGAATTGGCGCGTCGATACACTCTAGTCAAAGAACAGCAGAGAATATATAGAAACGTAATCGAACGGCCATTGATGGTGTCGGCTAGGAAAAACTCCGGAATTCTCAGGTTAAGAAACATAATTTTGACGATCACGGGAGGGTTGGAAAGAGCAAGAGAGGTTGCCAATAGGAAAAAAGCATTCAGATTTGCCGACGTCGGATTACCAAAGAAGCCGTTAAGAGGGATCGGTGGCTTCCCGAAAAGACCTTTGTCAGCACAACCGAAGGGACCATCGTATTATTTTAACCTACGAAAGAGCACGAAAAATTCAAGTAAACAAATGAGCAAGAAAAGAATGAAAAAGTAAAATGAAGGCAACCTTTTGAGGTATGCAAATATAATACTTGATGGATCTCTTCGTTCCCGTATTATAAATGCGGGTGTTCCTACATAAATACAAGCTGTTTATGCATGTTATGTGATATTCACAATTTCTTATAAGTAGACTTTATTTTCTACTAGCGCGGAATTTTTTTTCAACTCTTGAAAACATGCACATTTTTTTTTCTTAAAAAAAAAAAAAAAAAAAAAAAAAAAAAAATTAATACGATCTGAAATTTCTAGGGATGATGGGTACACGCGTAAAGTGGAAACGTACAGCGATTCCGAGTCTTTGCAGTCTTTTCCAGCTGAAAGAATCCTTGATCTCTTAATCATAATGAGAAAATTAATAAAGAATCAATTAAAAATTTTTTTTTTTTTTTTGAGAATTATTACTATAACCGTGAGTTTTTGTTTAAGATTCTAATATTTACACATAAAATTAACTTCTTATTAATGCTACAGTATAAAAAATCCTTCACATTGGTTGGTTTATATGAAATTCCCTCCGCGTATAATTACCCACACAATCAACTATTACAATCTGAATTTAATAATCGACCCATTTTAATCTCAATTATCATTCTCTCCCTAAAATATGGCATCAACGCTTGAGAAAATTGCAGATGTGCCTGACGAGCCAAATGTTCTAAAGTAATCATTGCGAATACTCCACAGTCATCTGAATTCAATTGTTGAGGTGAGCTTGACTATAAATAACAAATAATAACAATACGTACATTTAGCATTAAATTAGAAAGCTCGGAATGGATTTTCGTGACAAATTAAATTCTTACCCGAAACTCTTTACTTTCCCAATTTTCAAAATCAAATTCGGTACAATTGTTTTTTTGAGCCATGTAATTGAAAAATTCTTTCAATTTCTAATATGTTGACAGACAAAAAAAGTTATTTTACTAAAAAAAAAAAAAATATGAATGCATCAAAATCTTTACCGATAAGAATCCTGTCCTAAATCCGGCACCAAGTGAATCATACATTTCGAAACGTTTTAATTCAAAATTAGCAACGGCCAATGTCCAATGCACAGTTGTATTTATAGGTATGAAAATGAACTTTTTGTCAAACAAATTTGGTGGAGGGATCTAACCGAAAGATGTAAAAAAGGTGAGGGCATGAAATCAACCGATAACAATCAAGAACCAAATTACCTTTTTTTTTGGTTTCAAGAACCAACGAGATAACCTCTCGATACCGCCGCTATCACCCATCAGCGTACTGTAGAAGAATGTATTTACTATGTGGATTGGTGGATACTTCTCGGGACATGTTTTTGCTCTTTCCATTATCAGATTGCAATAAAAATTTATGATCTATATAAAAAATAATGGACTTTAAAATAAGACGGGAATTATATATTAAAATGAGAGAAAATACTGTGCAATTTCAATTTACCTCATCATTAAGCCACGAACCGATGGATAGCGTTTGGATGTCTTTAATTTTTATAGATAAATTGAATTTTTCAATGACCACAGTTGACGACTTGTACTTCACACCATCAGGAGTCAACAAAGTCTTAACCTATTCAAGATTTCGAGTCAACATTATTATTAAAAATATACGCAAACAATTTTTTAAAAAAAAAAAAAAAAAAAATCATAATATAAACACCATGTTCTTTTGTTGTTCTGTTAAAGGTGGATATAAATTCGAATCATCACTTGATTCAAACAATGAGAGCTGTTTTAATCGATCTCCGGTCTAATAATTTAGTTTTAAATATTCAATTCCATAATGTTCGATAATTCTTTCCTCCTATGGTGACCTACCTTCGATTCTTCTTCTCGACGATTATCAATCAACGGTGTATGACAGCGATTACTTTATAATTTTGCATTAAAGACGAAATTAAGAAAAATACACTCCAAAAAATACACGAAAAGTGTGGTTAAAGAGATTAACCTCAGGGGAGTAAAATCATCGTCACGTGAATTGTTTCTCTTGAATGGTGGCGTACGCATATTACCTTTGCCTTTCAAAAGCGAAACAACAATCCATATTAACAAATCGAGTCCCTGTCAACCAAAAAACGAAATTACTTACCTTTTGGCCGTGATATCGATCCATTCTCATGTGTAGGTTTTTTTTCTTTCGCTATTTGTGTGATTAATAATCGATAAGTGATACACTTCGCAAGCAATAAAACTTTCTTTATAGTTGACCTACTTATTTCTTCAGTGTCAATATCCATGTAATGTGATTTGTCACTAACTTTCTCTAACGAAATTTCTTCCAGTGGAGTTTGAGAAGATAAATCTGAGTTGAATTTGACAGTTTATACTTGTTAATGACCTTGGATGTAATCATGCCATAAACCTCTTGATCAGCAACAGACCCATTTCCTACCATTGTTCGATTGTATATTCGATTCCCTAGACGATACATCTGGTTTGAAATTTATCCTCGACCTTGAAATTGAGCTACTTTTTCTACGTTTAGATATGCGGCTTATAGATTCTCCTAATTTTATATTATAACACTCCAAATAAGAAAATAATTCCAATATATAAATATATATAGATAAATTAAGATTCACCATTTAATAGCGATGCGAAATTTTGTTGGTTGGGTGTTTTTAAACTTGCTGAAAAATAAAATCAGAGGTAAATAACAAAAAAAAATAAAAATTATGTTAATCAAGCGAACATAATTACTTATACATAAAACACCCTCGATGACTGCTAACTTTTTATTATGAACTTCTTTGGCTAGTTTCCTCTTGTATTTTGATTAAACATCAAAATTAGTTTGATATTAAGATCTCTCTTTGAATATTGATTAAAAAAAAAAATCGTACCTGATATATTCTCGGTCGTATGCGACTTTTTCTACAATTTCTCAAGGCACTATTTTCAATTTTATTTGTGAACGTAGATTTGTCACTTATCGCATATTCATTTTCAAATCTAGATTCATGCTCGTTGCCTTTTGCTTTTTGTATAAAATAATACGAATTATCGACAGTGGGATTGTAATAATTGTAGGCACTTTGAGAAGTGCTTGAGTATATGCGGGAACTTTGTGACATGGAAGTAATAGGCTCGACGGTTTTAGATTTACTGTATTTCTTGAAGTATTCAACATCCCTCTTGATATAAACATCGACGTGTCACACACATGATCTGCTTCATCGTTACGTAATTAGTGTATGATCATCCTGTCTAGTTCGAATCATTAATTACGAGGAGTGCGCATTCTGCATCGTCAATCTTTAATTTGCAACGGATGTTTGGGTATTCACCTTGAAAGGGGATAATTCTCGAAGAACGCATGCATAAAAACAATCGTCATTTTTTTCTCAATTCAATTTCCTGATCCCCGTGGCTGTAGACGACGAAACTGAAAAATTAATTATTGATTCGTCTTGTCTTGATTTGATATGAAGGCTCGAATTGCGTCAAGTGATACTGTCGATAAATTCTATGTTTGTTGTGAGGTGGTTGTTTATGCTTAATCCATATATGTAATGAGTATATACGCATATAATTATATGCTTATATTTATTAATACATTTTGCTTAAAATATCATATTGCATAAGGATCTTTAAAATCTTCTGGGATTTTAATCCTTTTTTAAATTTAATAAAAAGCAATGGAAAGCATTTTAAGTCAAGGATTTTTATTTATTCTTTAATTGATTTTTTAAAAAATAATAATTTAATGAAATAAGCTTACAAATTATAATTTAAATTCATTCTTGCAATTTATAATTGTTTCTTAAACTTGATTCTTTTAAACTTTAAATTTCAAAATATAATCAATCCTTAATAAGTTGTTAATCAATTTTTGATATTTGATTATTATTATTTTTTTTTATTTTTTATTTTTTGCAATACTCTATTAAATCAAGTTAAAATATATTAATTTCTTATTTAGTTTTTTTTTTTTTTAATAACTTCTATTAAATCAATTATTATTATTTTTTTTTTTTATAATCCATGGTCAGGCCAGCACTATGTGTTTATTAATCAATATAAAAACCAATAGAGATACATAGAGCAATTGCATCATGGCTAAACTAAAAACTTGTACTGACACACTCGTCAATGACTTTCAATTCTCAAATGAGCTTCAGTCTTTAAGTACAACCTTGGGGACAATATTTCATTCTGAAATAAGTTTTGGATGAAGATCTTTCTAACTTACCCATCATTGTCAGCAGATTGTCACTGCTTATTATCCTCCAAGGAACTGATTTTGAGAACTACAAAAGGAAAAGGAAAAAAGAAAAGGAAAGGAAATATCTAAAAATATATAACTGTGCTACATGAAAACAAAAAAAGAAAAAGAAAAAATGAAAGTGTTTTATATCCTTCAAAGGACCTCTGCTAGAAACCTCTTCTCATTAAAAATCAACCCTTCTGGGATATTCTTCTTCTTCTTGATCATCTGAGGAACTTATCCATCTGTGCTCTTAATTATTTTCTTGTAACCATCTAAGGTACTTATCACCTATTCAAATTTAGTATCTTGCTCAATGCTTCCTTTCTTTCAGTCTTGATTTTATATCCACCCGTATAGAAGTGAATGATTAATGATGAACCTCAGGCTCTTATGTAGCTTTTCAGTCTTGTTGTGTAACTCCCAATATCTTCTAGCAGCCATGCCTAATTAAAGGAATTTTACTGATATATATTTTTTATTACCCAAAAAGTTGGATTCTCTAACAATCTTTTTGCCTTATAATGGTGGAAGGGTCTCGAATAGCATGGAGATTCTCGTTGATTATGATATCATTACACAACATCTGGAAAAATGTATTCTCAATCCTAAGAAAGGGCAGTATTTTATATTCCTCTGCTTTTCAGTCTTATAGCCTAACTAGAATAAGGAAATAATCTTCTTCGTATACTTTGCCTGATCAGGATAATAAGAAGTTGAAGGCCTCAGCTTGAACAAATAATCACCTTTTCATCACCTAAAAAATTTAGTGCCCATCCTAATGGCCTCATGATTTCTTTGCTTCAGTTAAACTTCATTTGGAGGAGTGGAGAAGTTCATATTCTTGATTTCTCTTTTAATTATCAATGACATCATCGGAACACATAAAGCAATCAATAGAAGCTTGTTTATATTTAGCTACTAACATATTTCGTGTCAACCAATCAGATACCAGGTGATATTGTGCTATCAAAAATTCAGGATCAAACTAAGGTATACAAAATTTCTCAAGAAAACTATGAAAATCAATAAACACTTTAAGAAGATATAAGACAGTATGTGAGAAGGTAGAAAATAAGACTTTTCCTATCAACAGAATCTCTATTTCTTGTCGCTTCTAGCTCTGTGAGGTGTCACTTCACTTGTTAATTCTTTTACTTCCTAGAACCTTCTTATCTTTAGTAGAGAAAGTATGTACTTGAGTCTTTTCAGGTCACTAGAAGCTTAAGTTTTATTCAAAGAAATTTATAAACAAGTAAGGGAGGGTAGAAAAAATAAATGAAGACAAGCTTCAAGTTGTTTTAATAAAAGTATAAAGACTTTATTAGCAAGGAAGTATAAAA